TATTTTGTTTCTTCCCCCTCTCTGATGTATTTTGTTCTTTGTAGATGAATTAGAGGTGTAGATATCCAGATGCTCCCGATCTCTTTATGAAATGCTTGCTTTTCCATCCCAATAATTTATATTACTAATCTTGAATATATGGAATTTAATATTAGTGTTTTTTAATTGATTATGTTAAACTTCTATCCCCCCCCCTCCCCCCCCTTTTCTTTATATGACATATCAAGAATAAGGTGGTTTAATGAATTTGCAAAAGAGAGATGGACAATCAAGATGAAACTTAATTAGTTGCCTAGATAGTGTAGTGTTGCATCATTTATTTTTGACATCTTAATATGTCTTGGTCCACCATTTCATCAGTTATTTTTACTAGTATTGTTTTTCTAAATTTAAATTTCTAGTTGGTATATAATTTCATACACTTTGTAGGATTTAGAAGTTCTTGCAGAAGCATACTATATCATGATGAGTGCAAGAAGGATTGTCTGTTGATTCATGGTAAGAGGGTTCTCTCTTTCTTTAAAAATAAATTAACGAATGTTGCTTATGAATTATGATAATGTATGATACACTTGTTTTCTTAAATTAGTTTAAAGTAGTTATTTTGAGTGTATAGTTGATTTTAATCACATATTTGTAATTAGAAATAAAATTATTACAACTCAATAATAACACTAATACAACTAAAATTATGAAAGAAAGAACAATCTAGATCACTTGTTCTTCTTTCTTCTCTCCTTGGAAACTGTTGTGTATGGTCTTTGATTGGAAATATGTTTCTACGAGTTTCAATAGATAAGGATTTTGTGGATCGATTCCTTTATATAGTAGAAAATTAAGTCATATCGAACCTTAATTTATTTTTCCATAAGGTTTCATACTCATTTTCCAAATATCCAACCTGTTCAATTTAGAACCCCTTTTTAATTATGACAAACAAAGCAAGTATAACTATGCAAGTGTATACATCTACTCACCCCATTCACCATATTGCTTACTGGAGAAATCATTTTTGACTTACTTAGTTCCTAATAAATCGAAACAGATATATCTGATGCTATTTGTGTGGCATAATTCAGACGTCTAACATAAGTAAGGTTGACTAGTTTTTTAGTTATTTTACAGATGGGTATTGTATCTACCGATTCAATCAAATAAATCTATAAAAATGTAAAATTATTTCTGGAATGATCATTCAGACCTTACTTTCGTACTTGTCAAGTTTTTAGTGTGTGGATCTTAAAGAAATATACTTAACAAAGGTATTTGCATATTTGTGAAGCTTAATTTGTAGTGAAATACAATGTGGTCTTTAGTATTAAACAAGTGTACTATCAAGAATTTTAAGACATGGTCATAGATTTATTTATTTTGCGTTATGTATAAATATATATGTGGTATCTTTTAATTAGTTTTAATTTTTGTAATTTTTTTTTCCAGTTTTTCCATCAAAATTTGCTCGATCAGTTTCACGCCTGAATGATCGTGTAAGAGTGTGTAATTGTAATTGTTCACTTGTTGTTGAACAAGGATGACTTAAATTTTCACCCGAACATAAAAGCATGGTTTTATGTTGTGGTGAAAATTTAGGCCATCCTTGTTCAATAGCAAGTGAACCATCATGGTTACACACTCTTACACGATTAATCAGGCGTGAAACTGATCGAACCACAAAATGGGGGACATCTTGACTTTTCGGGTAATCAATACTTCATTGTTCAAATATTTGGAACAAGCAGTTGTGAGAAGATCAAGTTCTACAGTGAAATTGGCAAAGGAGGAAAAAGAGCACGGACTTACATGGAAGCAACCATTCCAATAAAGCTGTTTCGAACAACTGAGATACATAAATGAAGAAAAAGACTAAAACATTTGTTGCATCAGAGTCTGAAAAGGTCACATACATTTTGCTGCATCAATTGGCTATGATGCAACAATTGTTTTACTCTCTTTTCTTTACTGAATTTATATCAATTGTTTGAAGCAGCTCAACCGGCGTAGTTTCTTCCATATAGGTCGTTGCTCTTTTTATTACTTTGCCTAGTTGGCCCAGATTCATCGACCCCGTGACTCTCCTTCTGCCTTTCTATCCTGCTGGCGATAAAAATAGGTTAGCTCAGATTTGTACAAAGATGACAACACAAGATTTTTTTATCAGTTACATCTTTATGGCAACTTTACGGTAAGTTTTTTCACACACTTATACTAAGTTCTTGTACATAAAAATTACTAACACATTTTTCTTTGACAATAATGTTGTGGAATGATCAAAATGTACTGAAACATGAAAGAACATAATCACCTGTTGTCAATTCATTCTTATTAATTGCTGGTGCTTGGCTTATTTTTTTTTTTGTTTTCCAGTTTGTGTATTTTTTCTTCTATCGTTTAGTATCGACCTTCTTTATACCTATGCAAGAAGTACCAGAATATTGACAAAAATATTTACCAAAATGAAAAAGCTCGGAAGGTGGAGTATTTTCCTCTGAAGAGACGATAAAAGAATGTGGTCTATCTATTATCATAGTAGATCAGGTTTTGATGTTTTGACATGTGGATGGGAGAAAGTTCTGGACGCTTACGGCATGAATGCATGAAATGGTTGTATTTTTCAACTTGTCCATCACCGGGGACGTACATTTGGTGTACGAAAAATCTAAAATGCTAGAAGTACGATGCCGAAAGAACTAGTTGTATGCCAGTTTCTCATTAATGATTTTTTTTAATTGTTGCCTTGTTGAGTTGTATGCTTTTTACTATCAATAGCTGCTGATATTAGGATCAAGAGCTTACCATATTTAGACTAAAACACAATATTTAGATTCTTCTGAACGGCAAGCGTTATGATCAAGAACGTACTATCATGCCAAAGAGCTAAATCTGATAGCAAGGGCATAACTTTATTTCTTAACTAACCCCACGTAGAAAGCGCTATGTTCGACTTTATCACAGGCCACCCCTATGGCATGATGTTCACGTTATTTAACACTCCCCTTCCTACACCTTCCTTATGAAACATGTTGCTCTTGAAAATCATAAGAAACTGACTCAACGCCTTAAAAGGCTAAAATAAGTTTGGACCTCTTAAAAGTCAACCAAGACCTCACCTAGGCCTAAAATCATCCCCCCAAATTCAACGAAACTCTTGGAATTATGATCCGACCATCCGAACCCCGAATGTTGACCAAAGTTAACCAAAGGCTAAATTTTTCATAATTTCATAACTTAGGATCTCAAATCCTCAAAAAGACTCGGAAACTAAAATTGAAAACTCTCAGAACTTAGATTCCACATTCAGGAACAGATGGAATCGACGGAATCTTATTCCGACACTCAAAACTACAAAAGACCCCAAAAATCACTACCTTAACAATTTAGCCTTTAAAACCCACAAAATTACCAAATTCTCAATTTTTAACTCAAATTTAAAAACCAACTTTTCAAACTCAATCACAAAAGACTCGGGGTTGATATCAAGAGGGAAAAATAGTAAATTCATGAAACTTTGCAAAATGACCGACCGAGTCATTACAATTATATTGACAGTTAAACCACATGATATAAAAATGTTTTTTAAAATATTATTAATTATGACCAATTTTATGTGTGCCTGAGTGCATACCTAACATAAAGATATATACATGTTGTGAGGCAGTGCTCAAATATCTTTTTCATAAACGTATCTTTACTTTTATGCATATGACTTTAAACATGAGACAACTTACTTGAAATCATACATAACCTGAAAATACTCAAAAATAGATTTCATAACTTCATAAATAATCTTGACACATTCTTGGAAAATCATAATCATATAATAAAACATGTCATTGATATAATCTTTTCTAAAAACTCTAACTTTTGCATAAAAATCATAGCTCGAAGAAGATTGGGTAAAATCCTAGATTTAACCATAATTCATTACGTAATCAAAAATAATTTAGGCATGAGAGCAAACAGAGTACTGTTATTGAAGCCTAACATACCTTAGTGACGAATCTTGAAGAAAAATCTTGAAAGATGAACTCTAGCCTTGTGTTTCTTGAAGTTCTTGAGCGTAGGAATTTAGGAGTGAATAGGAGGGTTTTGATTATGAAAAACTGATTTTCTACATGTTTAGGGCCATTTAGAGTACTCCTAAAAAGTTTTTAGGAAAAAAATACACTTCAATTTTTTTTTGTAAGAGCTCAAAGTCGGAATTTTATTCCAGCTGACAATGAGGCTCGTATTCACTCTGAGTCTCGGAGCTTTTGTCATGTTAGAGCGAATCTCGTAAATCCGTCATAACTTTTTACTCCAAACTTGGATTGATGCAAACTTTATGGCATTGGAAAGAAGGCTCATAGACCTTTAATTTGATATATTGTGGGTTGCTAAATCTTTCTATTCTATGAGATATGTCGTTTCAAGTTGACCCGTATATGTATTCATGTGAAAACTTAGCCAATAAAAATGCATTGAACTTGGCATGGTGTTAGAGATCCCTTATGACCCTAAATCACTTCCAATACCCTTGATACACTTGGTAAAAGACCTTAAAACACATGAGCAAGTAGGACATCACTTGGTTCTAGCTCATATACATTCAAATGCTAAGAGTAGAGTTGTGAGGTGTTACATGAGTTCCTACATTTGGTTTCTATAAATGTTATAAAAAAATCATAATGCACGTAATTAGTGCAATTTTTATGTGACATTATTTTTCTATAAGTATGTGTACTTGCATGATATATTGAACATTTGGTGTTATATGCCGCTATTCTTATTGAAAATTTCTATATTTGTAATATATAGTTTTTTTAAAAAATAACATTGATAGAGATTAAAGCCCCTTTATTCAAAATAAATGTATGTACAAAATCGGACCAAGAATCCCAAATGAAATAACTAAATGCAAAACGAAAAACTCCGGGCCCAGTCCATTAAGGGAACGGGCTAGGGTTATATAAAGTTTCTTACAAAGTAGGGTTTATTTCTTATCCTTTTACTCTCTTCTCTGCCTTTCTCTCTTCCTTGTCTACTCCTGCATCTCAAGAAGCTAACACTACCATGGTTGTCCGTTTCTTTTTGTTGTGGGTGATTGAAATCTACCTTCGTTATCTCCTATATTCTTTCTCAGCTTACATAAGTAATTAGCTATCTCCCTTTACATTCTTCTTTCCGTCAAATTCTATAAATATTTGACCTTCTTTTGCATTTTGTAGAGGTATCTTCCGGTGGATGCAGTGGATTCCAAGATGATTTTGACAGAGGTACCAAGTCTTGAGTGCTTTGGAAGAAATTCTTTGTAAGCTCCTTCTCCTTCGTTTCTTCATTTTGTTTTGTTGGTTTCCCCTCTCTGATATATTTTGTTTTTTTTGGTAAATGAATCACATTTGAAGATATCCCAGATTCTCTCGATCTCTTTATGAAAAACTTGCTTTTCCATTCCAATAATTTATATTGCTAATCTTGAATTTAAGGAATTTAATAATAGTGTTTCTTAATTGATTTTTGAACTTTTATTTATATTGGACTCTATATAATGATTGGAACTAATGAATTTTTGATTCCAAATCTAAGATGAAATAAACTTTGACATAACAATGTAGCCTAGATGCAAAAGAGTCTTAAGACTTTAGATGTGTCCATGATGCCTCATAATGTATCTTGTTTATATTTTGGAACATACATGATATGGTATTGGTTATTCCTATGTCGATTTTAATATATTGAAATATTATTTATAACTCCAATTAATAATATTTATTTGTGCTTATTTGCGTCAATTGTAGATGCAGGTATATGACATTCTATATTTGGCCTTAGTGTTTAACAATGTCCAAAGAATCGTTTAGCCAAACAAGGTTTACTTGGTGCTATAGATAAAGTGATTTGTCTACTTATTATTATTGGAGTGTTTTATAGATTTATACTAGATATCAAGATTTAATCTATAATATGTGTAAAATTCCTATAATCTGTGAAATAAATAGAAAGTGAAATCTATAAAATGATTGGGAATACCACTAATACAACTAAAATTATGAAAGAAAGAACAATCTAGATCACTTGTTCTTCTTTTTTCTCTCCTTTGAAACTGCTATGTATGGCCTTTGATTGCAAATCTGTTTATACGAGTTTCAATAGCTGAGGATTATGTGGATCGATTCCTTTATATAGTAGCAAATTAAGTCATGTCGAACCTTAATTTATTTTTCCATAAGGTTTCATACTCATTTTCCAAATATCCAACCTGTACAATTTAAAACCCCTTTTTGATTATGACAAACAAAGCAAGTATAACTATGCAAGTGTATCCATCTACTCACCCCATTCACTATATTGCTTATTGGAGAAACCGTTTTTGACCTACTTAGTTCTTTAGTAAATCGAAACAAATATATCTGCTGCTATTTGTGTGACATAATTCAGACGTCTAACATAAGTAAGGTTGACTTGTTTTTTAGTTATTTTACAGATGGGTATGGTATCTACCGATTCAATCAAATAAATCTATAAAAATGAAAATTATTTCTGGAATGATCATTCAGATCTTACTTTTGTACTTGTCAAGTTTTTAGTGTGTGGATCTTAAAGAAATATACTTAACAAAGGTATTTTCATATTTGTGAAGCTTAATTTGTAGTGAACTACAATGTGATCTTTAGTATTAAACAAGTGTACTACCAAGAATTCTAAGTTCATAGATTTATTTATTTTAGCTTAGAATTTGTGTTATGTATAAATATATATATATGTGGTACCTTTTAATTAGTTTTAATTTTTGTAATTCCTTTTTTTAGTTTTTCCAGCAAAATTTGCTTGATCAGTTTCGCACCTGAATGATCGTGTAAGAGTGTGTAACTATAATGGTTCACTTGTCGTCGAACAAGGATAACTTAAATTTTCACCCGAACATAAAAACATAGTTTCATGTTGCTTTTATATTGTGGTGAAAATTTAGGCCATCCTTGTTCAATAGCAAGTGAACCATTATGGTTACACATTCTTACACGATTTAGCAGGCGTGAAACTGATCGAACCACAAAATGGGGGACATCTTGATTTTCCGGGTAATCAATACTTCATTGTTCAAATATTTGGAACAAGCAGTTGTGAGAAGATCAAGTTCTATAGTGAAATTGGCAAAGGAGGAAAAAGAGCACGGACTTACGTGGAAGCAACCATTCCAGTAAAGTTGTTTCGAACAACTGAGATAAATAAATGAAGAAAAGGACTAAAACATTTGTTGCATCAGAGTATGAAAAGGTCACATACATTTTGCTGCATCAGTTGGATCTGATGCAACAATTGTTTTACTCTCTTTTCTTTACTGAATTTATATCAGTTGTTTGAAGCAGCTCAACCGGGGTAGTTTCTTCCACATAGGTCGTTGCTCTTTTTATTACTTTGCCTAGTTGGCCCAGATTCATCGACCCCATGACTTACTTCTGCCTTTCTATCCTGTTGGCGAGAAAAATAGGTTTGCTCAGATTTGTACAAAGATGACAACACAAGATTTTTTTATCAGTTATATTTTTATGTCAACTTTACGGTAGGTTTTTTCACACACTTATACTAAGTTCTTGTACATAAAAATTACTAACACATTTTTCTTTGACAATAATGTTGTGGAATGATCAAAATGTACTGAAACATGAAAGAACATAATCACCTGTTGTCAATTCATCCATATTAATTGCTTGTGCTTGGCTGATTTTTTTTTTGTTTTCCAGTTTGTGTATTGTTTCTTCTATCGTTTAATATCGACCTGTTTTATACCTATGCAGGAAGTACCATAATATTGGCAAAAATATTTACCAAAAGGAAAAAGCTCGGAAGGTGGATTATTTTTCTCCGAAGAGCGGATAAAAGAATGTGGTCTATCTATTATCATAGCAGATCAGGTTTTGATGTTTTGACATGTGGATGGGAGAAAGTTCTGGACGCTTATGGCATGAATGCGGGAAATGGTTGTATTTTTCAACTTGTCCATCACCGGGGACATACATTTGGTGTATGAAAAATCTAAAATGCTAGAAGTACGATGCCGAAAGAACTAGTTGTATGCCAGTTTCTCATTAATGATTTTTTTAAATTGTTGCCTTGTTGAGTTGTATGCTTTTTACTATCAATAGCTGATATTAGGATCAAGAGCTTACCATATTTAGACTAAAACACAATATTTAGATTCTTCTGAACGATAAGTGTTAGGATCAAGAATGTACTATCATGCCAAAGAGCTAAATTTGATAGCAAGGGCATAACTTTATTTCTTAACTAACCCCACCTAGAAAGCGCTACGTTCGACTTTATCACAGGCCACCCGTATGGCATGATGTTCACATTATCTAACACTCCCCTCCCTACACCTTCCTTATGAAACACGTTGTTCTTGAAAATCACAAGAAACTGACTCAATGCCTAAAAAGGCTAAAATAAGCTCGGAACCTCTTAAAAGTCAACCAAGACCTCACCTAGGCCTAGAATCATCCCCCCAAATCTAACGAAACTCTCAGAATTCCGATCCGACCATCCGAACCCCGAATTTTGACCAAAGTAAACCCCAAGGTTAAATTTTCATAATTTCATAACTTAGGATTTCAAATCTTCAAAAAGACTCGGAAACTAAAATTGAAAACTCCCAAAACTTAGATTCCACATTTAGGAATTGATGGAATCGACGAAATCCTATTTCGACACTCGAAACTCCAAAAGACCCCAAAAACCACTACCTTAAAAACTTAGCCTTTAAAACCCACAATATTACCAAATTCTCAATTTTTAACTCAAATTTAAAAACTAACTTTTCAAACTCAATCACAAAAGACTCGGGGTCGATATCAAGAGGGAAAAATAGTAAATTTATGAAATTTTGCAAAATGATTGACCGAGTCATTATAATTATATTGACAGTTAAAGCACATGACATAAAAATGTTTTTTAAAACATTATTAATTATGACCAGTTTTATGTGTGCTTGAATGCATACCTAACATAAAGATATATACATGTTGTGAAGCAGTGTTCAAATATCTTTTTTATAAACATATCTTTACTTTTATGCATATGACTTTAAACACGAGACAACTTACTTGAAATCATACATAACCTGAAAATACTCAAAAATAGATTTCATAACTTCATAAATAATCTTGACACATGCTTGGAAAATCATAATCATATAATAAAACATGTCATTGATATAATCTTTTCTAAAAACTCTAACTTTTGCATAAAAATCATAGCTCGAAGAAGATTGGGTAAAATCCTAGATTTAACCATAATTCATTACATAATCAAAATAATTTAGGCACGAGAGCAAAAGGAATACTCTCATTGAAGCCTAACATACCTTAGTAATGAATCATAAAGAAAAATCTTGGAAGATGAACTCTAGCCTTGTTTTTCTTGAAGTTCTTGAGTGTAGGAATTTAGGAGTGCATAAGAGGGTTTTGATTATGAAAAACTGATTTTCTACATGTTTAGGGCCATTTAGAGTACTCCTAGAATGTTTTTAGGAAAAAAATACACTTCAAATATTTTGTAAGAGCTCGAAGTCGGTATTTTATTCCAGTTGACAATGAGGTTCGTATTCACTGTGAGTCTCGGAGCTTTTATCATGTTAGAGTGAATCTCGTAAATCAGTCATAACTTTTTACTCTAAACTTGGATTGATGCAAACTTTACGGCATTGGAAAGAAGACTCATAGACCTTTAATTTGATAGGTTATGGGTCGCTAAATCTTTACGTTCTATGAGATATGTCGTTCCAAGTTGACCCGTATATGTATTCATGTGAAAACTTAGCCAATAAAAATGCATTGAACTTGGCGTGGTGTTAGAGATCCCTTATGACCTTAAATCACTTCCCGATACCCTTGATACACTTGGTAAAAGACCTTAAAACACATGAGCAAGTAGGACATCACTCGGTTCTAGCTCATATACTTACGACGAATGATTCGAATGCTATGAGTAGAGTTGTGAGGTGTTACATGAGTTCTTACATTTGTTTTCTATAAATGTTATAAAAAAATCATAATGCACGTAAGTAGTGCAATTTTTATGTCACACCCCGAGCCTACACCCTGGGCGGGACTGGCACTTAAGTACCATTGTTGGCCCCAAGCAAACCCTTGGCCTGACTTACTTATTCAGCGGAAGACTTAAACACAAGAAATAGTCTCAAAAGGATAACTCATGTAATGTCTTAAAGAAAAATGAAACATAGCCAAAATGACAACTCAAGTCTTAAACGTATACAACTAAAAACGGAAAGACTAGAACTATTGTTACTCGTCTATGAAGCCTCTAAAACAAAGAGGTATATCAGGACAAGACCCTCGATCATCCTAACAACTAAAATACTAAAAACAAAGTAAGAGGAGTTCTCCGGAAGAAAAAGAGGCCCACCAATTGACTCTGAGTGCTCAATTGGATCAACGAGGCGCTGGATGCTGATCCTGGATACCTGTGTCTGTATCATAAAACGATACAGGCCAAATGACATTAGTACATTGAATGTACGAGTATGCGAGAGGAATACTAAAACATACGTAAGCTTGGAACGAATATGAAAGGAACACTTACCTTGGCTTTACTCACTCATGCATAACTTAACTCAAATGCAAAGTAAAACAACAATAATGGTGCAGTTATACAAAGCATTTAAAATAGTAGTAGCAACTCAATTTGTTAAAGAAATCCAATAGCAACTCACTTTACATATATAATAATATAATACTGTGGGAGTTTCTCTAATCGACAACCATCAGTATGAGCCTAAGTGATGATACAACGTCTTGTCCACGCTGCCAGAACTGTCCTATACTTTGCCGTCATATAGAACCCTTAACTAAGTGGATCCACTAGTCTATGCTAAAAATACTAAGGAATCATCTAAAAAGTATGATCCTTTTCTACCCATGATGGCAACATGTTTTATGGAGACTTGAGTTATTATGAACCCGCGTCCCCATATCGGTGCTCAATACTACTCTTAAAAATATACTTAGCTCATATGTTTTTGAAACAAAACTCTTTCTTTGGTTTGAGATAATTACTCAAAACTTAGCGTAAAAGCTCTCTTGGAAATTAGTGTTTCCTTTATTGCTCAAATGTGAAAGCATTTTTAACTCTTGGGAATACTTAGTTCCCGTATAATCTTTGAAGAAATGAACTTTTCTCTTACTCTTTACTCAACTCATCAAAGTTTAAGTCTTGAAACCAAAGTTAAAACGTTTGTCAAAGACTTTTGGAAAACTTTATGAACTTCTCTTAACTTGACTCTTACTTCTCTTGACTTGACTCTTAACTTTCCTTGAATTGACTTATGGATTCAAGGATTGTAATTTGTGATGGAAAGATCTCATGATGTTTAGTAGTGTTTTTAGATAGTTAAACATGAAAAAAATCAAGAAATCACTGATTGAAAGCAAGTTCGTGACGCGGAGATGCATTTAATTATTTGGTCGCAAAATAATTTTTGAGGTAGAACGGTCCGTGACCGCTCCGCGATGCGAGGAAGAATTTTCCTATTCTGAGGAATAGGTCCGTGACGCGGACCTGGTACCCAGATTCACCCGACTTTTTCCTTCTTCATTTTCCAGCCCCAATTCGCCTAAACTCGGTTCTTATTCCCAAATTCTCTTTAGATTCAGATAGTAAATGTACCTAAGAACCTAACTCAAAACAACTCTATAATTTGACGCAATTGTCTCAGGAACTCCTCAATCTCAGCCCAATTTAAGAACGAAACAAATTCAAGAACACATATCAAGAACATCAAACTTTTTAACCTTTTTAGAAAGAGTTCACACTGAAATAACATGGTTGGCACGTGGGTGAACGAACCCAACGTTATGAAATTCTCACATACCTTATAGGGCTCTCCCCTTGACGAAATCCACGACCTTAGCTTCAAGAATTTACGATTCCTTGCCTTCTCTTCTCCTTTCTCCTTTTATTTTCTTTTCTCTCAAAACCCTAACTCAAATCTCAAAAGCGTAAACTGACCAACTTTAGTTTAGACCCCAACTAATTACCAAAAAAATGAAATTAAGTCATTGGGTATGGAAAATACCAAAATACCCTTCCAAAATCCGTATTGGACTTTTCTTATTCAAACAACCTAACTTCCAATGGGAATATCTCACTCATATGAACTCGGAATCATGCGAACTTGGCGGTCTTGGAAAGATAATTCCAAGATCTTTCCTATGGTATCTGTAAACACACCTAAATCATCCCGAGCTAGGGGTTATGGTCGTTTGAAGTTGACTAGAACTCAGACTTAACTAAGAATTTACGATTCCTTGCCTTCTCTTCTCCTTTCTCCTTTTATTTTCTTTTCTCTCAAAACCCTAACTCAAATCTCAAAAGCGTAAACTGACCAACTTTAGTTTAGACCCCAACTAATTACCAAAAAATGAAATTAAGTCATTGGGTATGGAAAATACCAAAATACCCTTCCAAAATCCGTATTGGACTTTTCTTATTCAAACAACCTAACTTCCAATGGGAATATCTCACTCATATGAACTCGGAATCATGCGAACTTGGCGGTCTTGGAAAGATAATTCCAAGATCTTTCCTATGGTATCTGTAAACACACCTAAATCATCCCGAGCTAGGGGTTATGGTCGTTTGAAGTTGACTAGAACTCAGACTTAACTTAAACAAATTTTTAGATTTTTCATTCTTTCCAAAAATGACTATTCCAATTTTAACTTCTTTCTAGTTCTTTCAAATAGTGAGATGTTACAATGTCTCCACCTTGGGAACATTCATCCTCGAATGAGATTACTCTTACTAAGCTTAAGGTGTAACATCTAACACTCAACTCAAACACCCAACAATCAAATCTAACAGATCAACTATATAAATTAAAGAGTACTAAGAAGAGAATTAGTACCTTGGTCTGGAATTTCTCCGAGCTCAAAGAGATGTGGATATCTCTTCTTCATATCCTCCTCAGCTTCCTAAGTAGCTTCCTCAACAAACTGATTCCTCTAAAGTACTTTGACTGATGCTACTTCCTTGGTCCTCAACTTGCGGACTTGGCGATCTAGAATCTGAACCGGGATCTCCTCATAGGACAAG